GTCGGAGTGTTGCACTCCCTCAGCAATGTTCCCTCTAATTTCAATTGTTCCGTCTTCCCTGCTCACATCTCCAATGATTGTGCACGTTGTCATTAACGTGACTTCACTCCACATCAGCCACGCCTCACTGACTAACACTGCAAAACAGGATTGTTAAAGTATTAATTTTCATTTCAATTCAGGTTAGATTTTTTTTTGTGCGCAACGCAGATTTTCTGCGCGCAGAGACCGCGCCAGCAGCAATAACAGGTAGTAAGCACCTGTGAACAGCTTAATTTTAGCACGGGAATGATTCCACATACACTGCCAGTGCAGTAAAAGCATACCTGAATAAAAAACGAAAAATCATCCTGACAGAGAACAGAACAAAAGGCAGCCAACATCTAAAGAAGAGCTCTGAATGCCCTTCAAGAAGACTGCAGAATTATTCCTGAAGCCTTCTTAAAGAAAAAAGAAGAAAGTTTGCCTATGAGAGTTCAGACTGTGCTGAAGAATAAATGTGGCCATAACAAATACTGACCTTCAATCTTGTTACAATTGTATATTACCTAAGCTGCAACATGACTTCTACTGAACCTAAAGCTTTTCATGTGTTTCAAACGTGCATTGGCAAAGATTTTGAGAACTAAACACTGAGTATAAAGCAGCTGCTGTAATTAAATGCCTTAATGGTCTTGCTCCCCCATACCTTTCCGAGTTACTTCAGCCTTATATTCCTTCATGGACCCTCAGATCAGCTGACCAGCTGCTGTTGGTTGTCCCAAAATCAAGGCTTAAACGTAGAGGAGAACGAGCCTTTTCAGTTATGGCCCCAAAACTTTGGAATACGCTGCCTTTAAATATTAGACAGGCATCTTCGTTTCCTGTTTTTAAAATGCTTTTGAAAACACACCTTTTTTCGATAGCGTTCAGACTGGCTTGAGTTGATATGGTTTTTATGTGTTTTATTATGTTTTATGTGAGTGTCAGTGGTTGTATCTTGTGTTTTACCCTGTGTTTCTCTACAGCACTTTGGGCAAACTTTTTGTTTTTAAACGTGCTATATAAATAAACTGGATTTGGATTTACATGACCTAGTGTTTCTGCAGCAGTTCCAAATGACACATTCTGTTCTTGTTTCAGCAGAAGCTTTACAAAGGATTACTATCAGTGTAACTATAGTGTGATGACAGCTATTCTCAAATGTGCATCTGTGACTTGGATGTTCCACCTTGGTATATTTTTTGGAAATAGCCGGGCTACTACTTCAGCTAGCCATAATTTGCATTAGCTAAATCTTATATTTTGCTCAAGAAAAAAAAGTTTGGAATTTAATCGAAAATGTCCCTTAAATGTGTGATGTTCTGCTTTGGTTTTAAGCAGCAGATAATCAAACCAGCATGTAAAAGTTAAGCAACCACACCAGTATGTTTCTTTTTATGCATGCATTTATTATATTTACTCAGTCCTATATTTTTTTTTTCCTTTTCATATAATGCATAAAAATAACACCACTGGTAGACCAGTGAAATATATGCTCCCCCAAGTAATTGCATGAAAACAATCAACATGTGATTGTACATTCATCAGGTACAAGTGTCACATTTCAGCAGGTTTACAGTTTGAGGTGTTTTTCATTTACAAGTTCACTCATATTCACTCTCTCAAATGCGCTCACATGCACACAGACACACAATTGCTGTACAACATCATCCCAACAGAAAATGCATTTGCCTTTCTGTTAGTTCACAGATAACATAGAATTCCTTAGTGTTTTTGGTCCAGACTCCATTTGTTAAATCCATTTGGCAAAATGATTCTAATGGGATGTTCTAAAATCTGGAAGCAATCATCAATGTCCATAGATCTGAAGATGCCATCAGGATTAAGACACAGAGGACACCTCTGTCTTGCTTGTTGAAACTGAGGTCTCATCCTCCACCATGCCGCCCATTCCAATGGTGGATAGCATGCAGTTACGGAACTGAAAGACAGCCAATTCAGAAACTCAGTAAACAGCAAAAGACTGAAAAACAGAGAAGAAAACTATGAGAATACGTAACACCAACCTGTTTGTTCATTAGCACGTAGATAACAGGGTTGTACAAAGCGGAGCTCTTTGCAAAGAAAGCAGGGAGGGCTGCAGTGAGGGCAGTGAAAGAAGCTCCCTTGTTCATGAAAATCCAACCGGCGAAGCTAGCATACGGTGTCCAAGCTACCAGGAAGCCCATGACCATCAAGACACACATACGGGTCACTTCCTTCTCAGCTTTCTGGGTAGAAGCTGAGTCCTGCTGCTGTGCTGCTGCCTGTTAAGTTTTTCATTTAAATGTAATCAATAATAGCAAGGTGCAATAAATTCCACAGTAGCAATGGCTAGCTTGGTTAGATTAACTGATCTATTATAAATAATTTAAGAACTTTAGCTTCACTTACAGCTTTGACTGTCATCACAAGGCTTCCATAAGTGAAGAAAATGACGAAGACAGGAACGAAGAAGTGAACAACAAACATGTAGATGACATATGACTCATTATTGAAACCTGGAGCCAGTGTGTAGTAGTCAGGACCACAGGAACACTGCATTCCCTCAGGAATGTACCTGTGTGAGATTATTTTTTAAAAATCTCATGTATTTCTTCAATAAAATTAGCTTTTATCCAGCTTTTATTCAACATTCATAATATTTCAAGACCTTTACAACTAACTACTTATTCATCTTGTTAATCTCCTTTGTGCAGTATTCTGACTGTTTAAAATCATTATGATGAAATGAAAAGAAATAGAATTTACCTGGACCAGCCAAAGAGTGGAGGTGCAGCACAAGCCATTGCCATGACCCATGTGAAGAAAACTCCAGCACCAGCATGAGCTCCAGAGAACTTGAAGCTTCCCATGGGTTTGCAGACCACAATGTATCTCTCAATAGCCAGGACAACAAGTGACCAGAGAGCAACTTCACCTGTAGACAGAAAAGGTGAGTTATTCATTGATATTCAGATCATCAGATCATCAGATCATCAGAAACTTTATTGTCATTGTCATGAGAACAACGAAATTAAGAATGGTCCCCGATCATTGCATCATCCCTAGCAATATCAAAATATAAATAAAACAATAAAATTCAATAAATATTGTATATCTGCCAATGAAATAGAAAGGATCCTGAAAAGATCTGCTTTCTTTATTACCTCCAAGTGTGGCCATGAATCCCTCAATAGCACAGAAGGTGGGTCCAAGAATGAAGTAGCCATTAAGAGCTGATGTGATGGTGATGGTGAATCCAAAGCAGCACATGATGAGTCCAGCCACAGCCAGGTTGACCAAGATATAGTTGAGAGGTTGCCGGAGCTTCTTGTTCTGAGCAGTTACAAACAATGTCAGGCCGTTGATGGGAGTCCCAGTGCAGATCAGGAAGAACATGTAGAAAGCTAGAACTTTGTAAATTATCGGGTCTACCATATAATACTGAGTGTACTCAAAAGGACTTCTAACAATCCCAGTCCTGTTGGACATGGGAATGTAGAAGTTCTTGCCTTCAGTGCCATTGGGCTCAATTCCTCCATCCCAAGCCATCTTTGCTAGTCAGCTGTTTAGTTGTGTCTGTGTAAAAAGTCTACTTGTGTGGATGGTGACGATGTTTCAAGTTACACCCTGTGATTTTTATACCTCTCCACTAACCCTGTCAAACAGCCAAAATGGGATTAGCGGGTTGTGAGGTAGTGCAGAAGCTAAGAGGTCACTAATTAATCTTAACACCGGATAGACAGGACAGGGTCCAAACTAATTTGCTCCCCTTTCCAAGTCCGGAGGAATTCTCTTAATCCTTACTCAAGAAAGGGAATTACGTTCCCTCAGCTTTTAAAGTCTGAAGAGAAGTTAATCATGAGAAAACACACAAATCATACCTGAAATATGAGAAATGTCTGTGTATATAAAAACAATAACGTGTACTGATTTTAGAGTGTTAAATATATTAACTACAGCAGATAATGTTTAGTGATAGTGTGCTTTACACAGTCTGTGTCTTTTAATGTGAGCTATGTATGTGTTGAAATGTATGTGTTGCCTTCTTCTAATCCAATTCACTGTGGGTGCTTTCTTTCCTACAGTGCTTAACTACCCTACATTAAAAATTTTATGTGTTTATTAATTCAGACAAGACCTACAGTCAAGCTTTTTTTACCCTCACAGTCTGTCTCCATATGGAGGAACTTTGGGTGTCATTATCCTGATTGGATTAACCTCAGTATCTCACCTGTGGTAGCTGTGGTGTGGTAAAAGCTTACTGTCACAGGTCGGAAAGAAAATGTCCGGTAAAGACTTAGCCAATTTGTTGTCTTCTTTAAGCTACTGCAACACTATCAGTGGCAAAGAACAGCTAATATCAGTTATCCTTCTGTTTATTTGACAGATAGAAAGGATAGATTATGATTGGGCTACATGATGGAGAAACCACGTCATTTCTCTGTTACCTGTGATTAATTCAGATCAACTTGCTTGTGATGCTCTGTTTACTCCCAGTTAAATGTGATTTGATATGATAATAAATAAATTTACTTTCTTTTATATTTTCAATATCATTTATTGCTAATTTAATTTTGGCTTTTGCTGACTGGTGTGAATATTCAATATGCTATAATTTTTGATCGACCTCTGTGTATTAACTGCCCTTTGGATGCTTAAACATATCTATACATTGCAGATGTATATATTAGTATTATTACATACACTAAGCATTTCCATTTTATTCTTTTTTAATATAATATTCTACCAGGGTTTGACTGTGGTAAGTAGCTTAATGCCTGCAGATAATACCTTTCAACTCTGACACACCTCAAGGTGTCTCAGGTGGTAGCCTCATTACCTGACCTCAGGTAACAAATTAAGAGAAAGACTTAAAACACGATTTACTGTTAAGATCATTAACAAATTTCTCTTAACCTCACCCAACCTGAAATCTAATTTCGCTAAGTTGGGGTCATCACCATTTATAAAATAAGGAACTGTAATTACATTAAATGTTTGTTAATTCCTAGAGGTGTCCAGTAAAATACATCTACACCCTCATTTCCAACCAGACGAGGAGGCTGAAGTCCTTTGAACACCCACAGTTTCGTTTGGTAGACCTTTGTAGATTTCTTTATGTTTGTCAAAATCTGATCTGGACTTTCTCAACTACATCCCGGTCAACTTAGCTGTGGATGGAGTGGAGATGATGGTTTCCAGGATTTCATGGCCACACACTAAGGTAAACTGCAACTGAAGACATAAAATGTAAATATCTAAACTTTTTTGGTTCCTTCATATAATTTGTATCTCTTATACCGTAATAATGTCTATCATTTATAAATTAATACTGGTTGCTCAAAGATATGGCTCACTACAGTCTGTACACAATGAAAAAGCTTCACTTTCACTACGGATTACAGATCCTATTGTACTGAGTAATGTTAAAGGTTCGTGTGGTTTAAATTTGTAACTATGAACAACAAGATTTAGGTAGTTTACAGAAACTATCTACCTGGAACAATTTTAAGTTTAATGCAACATTAAAACGTTAAGTGCAAATAAGGAGTAAAGAACAAAGTGCAGTTAAAGGCTGCAGAAAGTTAGATCATATTTAATGCAAATATAATAAGCAAAAAACCTTTGTGAATCGAGCATGAATGATAATAAAAACACAATACACTTAAGCTAACAAGAATCTTTTACGCATGAATATATAAGATATAAGATATAAATATATAGCAATATGACTTTTAAAAGCACTGTAACTGTCTGTGTGATGACTGTGCTTCCAGATGGATGCGACAGACACAAGTCATCGCTGATGAACTGATGCACTGTTGCTCTTTATTCTGTTGGACAGAAGCTGTAAGCACATCTCTAATGAGATTGAGCGCAAACTTTATCCTTACTCAATTTAATCTGTAAAATTTGCTTAATCGCTGACATTCAACACAAACTCCCTGTTTGTCTTAGCACCATTTCTTTCTCTTCTGCTTAAGAAACTCTTAGCCTCTTAAAAGTCTCCATTTCTACTCCTGTTTTTCACCTCAGAAGCTTATTTAAGATACTTTGTGGATAAGTTTAGTTTTAATCTGTATTTAATCTTACCTTTAAGGCAGAAATTATCAAAACACTTTACCATTTTAAGAATTTCCTTAAAGTTTAATTACGAGGAACATCTCTTTATACTGTGAGATTTGGTGAATACGGCCAGTGATGTGCAGAAATTTGAGCCTTTTATCCTTAATGAGCTGCTTCAGCTCAGCCATATTCTCAGGATGAGTGTCTTTCTTGAGGTCATTTTACAGAATCTCTGTTGAATAAATGATTGGGCTCTGACAAGAACACTTACTCTATAGGAGAAGTACAGAAGACAAAGTACCTGTTTGCGTCACAATATCAAGTATTAGAGTATAGTAGTATAAGCCTCCCTCCAAGCCACAGGCTCCCACGCAGCACCAAGCCACAGGCTCAGCAGCATGGAGAGTACAGCAGTCATAAAAGCAGACCTGATGAGCCTGTCAGAAAGACAGAGCTACAATGAGAAGTAGTCTGTTCAGGGCAAAGTAGAACATGAAATTACAAATTAGTATTCGAGCTGTAACAATATTGTTGCAATAAAGTGAGACGCTGCTTTCAATCAAAGCACAATTTCATCTGCACTGTTATTGTAAATTCCCACTCGACTTAAGTATTAACTGGAAATTTTAAGATTTGAAATCTTTGCTTAGTCCACTACAGTGACTGTGAAAGTTTGGCTACCCTTGTAGTCAAGGGAACAGTTTAAATCATGAATATTCTACTCAGTTTAGATCTGTGGCATTTTATGTTAAGGGAAATGAATGTTTTGTTTTCAGCAGTAGAGAAAATGATATTATTAGGATGTGGTTTCATATGTGAAGCATGTTTGGTGATAAATTCTATTTATTTTAATGAGTGAGAACTTAACTATCTCAATGTGGTTATGTAGTTATTATAGGGTATTTGCCAAATGCATATCTACTGTGTTATTAATTAAACCAGAACTGACCAAACTAACTTGAAAATTATGGATTTAAAATGAAAAGCTCTGAGCTTTTTGTCTTTGCCATACCAATTTTAATTGTACATGTTTTGTTTAGAGCTATTAGCATTCATGTAACTAGTATAGTTTTGTTTTTTTATTTATTAATTTTGTTTGTTAAATTCATTCTTGGGATGAATTGGGATTTGGGGAAAAAAATTTCATCAGTGTCCAGCCTTTTAAATTTTCTCAAATTATCTGGAAATTTAAAAAATGCACAATTAAGATTTTTTAATACAAAATTCCTAATGAGGATATATGGGATTTGTTTAAGTTCATGTAGTGGTGAACATTTACTCTCTCTACAGCAGCAGGACTTGCCTACTTTTAACGTATCAAGTAAGAGTAATCAAAAGTAAAAGTACTCCTTATACACAACAGCTCATGTCAGAATTATATATTTTCTGTACCACATTGGTGATGGAATAATAAAAGTAAAAAAGGACAAGTATAGAAAAATGTATTTACTTTATGTTCTATAAGTATATAATGTAGGCAGCTTGTCAACTTACTTGGAATGTAGAAACATAGTACACCAGTTTTTATGCTTTGATTGTTTATTATTATAATAAAAGTTTATTCTCCTGTAGAATAGAATTTGAATGCAAATAAATATATTTTTATTAGTTTATCTTAGAAAATATATGAATAAATTTTCAAACATTTAGCCTAAATAAATTCAATCAAAAATGTTAATAATGTGTTAATAAAGTTCAATACATGTTAGATATGTTGTGTGGTTCATTTTCTTCCTTTTTGCAGAGTTTTAACAAGAGCGTCAAGGAGCTACTTCAATGCTGGAAACACCCTACACTCCAAAACAACATTTTCTTGATTAAGACACTGCTCTATTCCAACCAGAAACTAAAGACCCCTCTGCAAGCTGAAGCTTAACCCTTCATGATGTGAACAGGACCTCTTCATCTTCAAAAAGCAAAGATGCACCCACTAAACCTAGATATGAACAGAACTGGTGAGGGCTAAAGGCAAAATGTAAATTGAGCTCCAAGATATAACAATCTAATATTTTTCACCTTGCAGTGGTAAAAAGCTGGTCTTCATTTAGGCGTTGGGTTAATTAGAATCACCAATTAACCCCTAAAAATTTAATGTCTTTGTACTGTGGCTGCAAAAAGGTCTCCATTTTGGAGACAACACATAAGGATTTGAAGAATGTGAAGACTCAAAAAGCAAACCACAACAATCAGATGCTGTTCCCTCAACCCAAAGACACAGGTAAAAGAAATCCTCTTATCCAAAATCTCCGTACAGTATATAATCCACCTCCTCTGCAGGAGATTGTGTTGCATTCTAAGGTGAGTCTGGCTGAAGCCAAAGACCAGGCTCCCCTCTCTCCGGATTATTCCACCTATTGGAAATCAGGAACCAAATTGCCTTTGGATGTTTCCCAGTCCACTAAGGCACAGACCCCTAATACATGAGGCAGGCCCAGAGAGGGTCTACTTGGCAGGCAAGAATGGCCCTGATAACTTTTTTCTTAACAATATATTTTAGTGTCTCAGTTTTCATTACATGGAATTTTTAGAATCGATTTTAAGATGTCCTTTCATCCTGGACCAATTTGCCTTTGGGAAATGCAAAAAGTGGCAAAGTGTCTCTGACAATATTTAAAGTCCTCCACTAGTGGAGGAATTTGTTCGGTTACTTTTAATAATTGGATGAAAATCCTTCAACATCACTATGTGCTGCGTTTGTTTTCTTGACTTTCTCTTCCAGGTGTTTGTTTTTGCCAAGTTCCTTCAGATGTTTTCTAGATGTTTTTCTAACAAAGTCTCGTCTGGCCTTCTTGTTCTTGAGTGTACCAGAGGTTTGCATCATGATACAAAACCCTCTGGATTTCAATGAAGGCATCTCCTGTTTGTAAACGTTGATGAGATGCCTTCCTCTTCCAGAGTATTCCAGACTTGGCTGATGTTGTTTTTCGTTTTTTAAACATAAAAATAATTCTGCCACTGCATGTAGCTAGCTTATTCTAAAGTTTTGTTTACCCATGTGACAGATTTATTTTTTAAGCCTAATGATTGATTTGTGATAAAGCAAATATGTCATGTCAAGGGAACAGGAGTCACATGGCCTTGAAAAGTCTTGTCGGTCAATTTTCTAAATGACTTTTGAGCCTCTAGAAATGGCTGTGTAAAAAGAACAAGGTGAAAGTATGTAATTCAATCACATATTGATTCTGTTATTAAAAATGTACTGTGGTGGTTTAAGCATAACTATGGAAATTATGTCTCTGTCATGCGTCACCTATGTGTGACCAGTAGATGTAAAGCATGTGAGCTAATTCAGCCTTTAGCTGCTTAAATTCACCAAGAAAGACAACGCCTTTCCAACTGTACTGACCCTGTAGTCAAAGGTCTACATGATAAAATACGTTAAAGCATATGTGACACAACGGCATAGACTGACTTGTGTTCTGGTCTATAATTATTAACCCTTTTTCAAAAACAACAACCAATGATTATTTAATTGACAACAGGGAATTTGATTCAATGTAAACACATTTTGGCCAAAAAGATGTGAGCTGAAGCTTTAGCTTCAGCCTATGTTTTATACAGAACACATTCTAAATGAAATCCCTTTATTGACTAGATTTTATCAAAGCAAACACCAAGAAAAATGATAAATGAATAAATGAATAGGTAGTAAAAAGAGATATAGAAGAGATAGCTTAGTAGGTAGCTCCATGATTGGAAGGTCGGGGGTCCACCAAACAGCTACCCTGAGCAAGGTACCATCCCTACACACTACTCCCTGGGTGCTGGATTGGTGGCTGCCCACTACTTCACTGAGTGAATGGGTTAAATAAAGAGAGTACTTTCCCTACAGGGAATTAATAATGATGTATAATGATGTATAATGATCTTCACATTAAAAGAAAATCCATACACACTCTATTTCAATATCATTTAGTTTTTTAAAGAAAAAAGAAAAAATTATTTTGCCACATTATAAAGGTTGTTTTGCTTTAGTGATAATTTATTAATTTCAACTGTTTCTTTCAAAAATATTAGCTCCCTTTCCACTTTATTTTGAAGCTGTTCCAAACTTTACCCATATTTAGTGTAACTGACAAACAACAATTTAGACACATTACATGTGTCATTTATTTATAAAATTTCCAGTTTAGAGCCCAGCACTGAAGGTTGTGGAACCTGACAAGTAACCTTAAACCAGAGTCAACATTTCTTATCTGTACATGACGAGTTTTATACAGATGTGCTCAGTCATGAGTGAGCTAGCATCAGTCTATCTTTTCATTAGTAATCTGTGATCTGCCATTTCACATGCATTTTTAAGATCAATAAACACCCCCAAAATGTACTCCTTGTTGTCATTTGCAATTTTTGTAACGTGTTTTCTACAATTTAAATGACACCCATTGAGGTGGCTATTCAATAAATCGCATTTTTCAATGAAATTATCATAACTTTTCAAAAACAAAAGACACATTTTTCTTTGATGGAAAAAATGCTTCTAATCACTTGCATAAATGAATAATAATAATAATAATAATAATAATAATAATAATAATAATAATTATTATTATTATTATTATTATTATTACTTGCATAAATGAGAATGACTTCTGCTGTTTTTATTTTACCTGGAAATATACCAGTACCGATAAAAATATGATTCAAATATGCAAATACATGTTTCGGTTTTACAGTAAAAACATTGGCTAATTATCATATGTTAGTAATTAGCTATGTAAGCCGTATTATATAAACAGAAAAGTAATTACATTAACATTGATTAGTCCCATAACAAACCCAACTAACCCCACTCAACCCTACACTCAGAAAAATTATGGTTCTTAAATGGTTCTTCAGATGGCTTCATGGTTCTTTAAAGAACCATCATACGTCAAAGAACCTTTTTATTTTGTGGATGGTTCTTCAGCTATTACAAATGGTTCTTTAAAGAACAAAAGGTTCTTCATCCTTAGCAATCTAAGTTTGATGGTGTAAATGGCATAAATATTTATTCACTATAATGAGGCTGTGAATTATACTGTGTGTTTTCTTTGTGTGCATGTGTGTGCGAAGGGGGAGGGCGGGTTACCTGGCAATTACCCTTTAAGAGAAGATGGTAGGAAACTGAATATTCAAATAAAAGTTAGAAATATTTGCTTAAAAATATACTGGTGGCAGGGGTGGGGGCCAAAGCCTAAAGACCCTAACCCCCCCCCCCCACACACACACACACACACACACCCTAACCCCACAAACACATTATGAATATGGTGAGTTAACAAACAGTAGACACAATACACACATTCAAGTGTACTTTAGTTTTAAATTTTAATAAAGCATTACTATTTTCTACTCCAAGGCATTACTTTTGAGATTATTATATATTTTTGAAAATACAGCATAATGATAATACTAGTTATTGTAAACTTTACAAACCACCCAGCAGTATGTAAAGTCAAATTATAAGATACAAGTAAATAACAATTGCAGAACAGAATGTCAGTGTAATGAACACACACTTCGTTTTGACAAAGCACAGCTTAGGTAAATGATCTGAGTAGTTGTTCATCACTGAGCAAACCAACAGACTTAATAAACTAATCCGTAAGGCCAGCAATGTTGTGGGGATGGAGCTGGACTCCCTCAAGGTGGTGTCGGAGAGGCGGATGCTGTCCAAGATAAAGACAATGTTGGATAACACCTCCCACCCACTCCATGACATGCTGGTCAGTCACAGGAGCACGTTCAGTGAGAGACTGAGATTACCGAAAAGCACCACTGAACGACACAGGAAATCATTCCTGCCTGTGGCCATCTCCCTGTACAACGCATCACTTAACACACTGGTTACTGCTACAACTACACATGTTTCTTTTCCAACTATTTATTTATGAGTGACTTATGTATGTATGTATGTATGTATATATATGTATATATTGTACTATTCTTAGTTAGTGTATTGTCTGTCTTGTCTTAATGTTGGTTTAAAATGGAGCACTGTAACAAAAAATAATTTCCCCCAGGGATCAAAAAAGTATTCTGATTCTGATTCTGATTCTGAATTTGTTAATATGCTCTTCATAGACTACAGCTCTGCATTTAATACCATAATTCCCTCCACACTCACCACCAAGCTGGAGCATCTGGGACTCAGCTCATCTATGTGTCAGTGGATCTCCAACTTCCTAACTGGCAGACCACAGGCAGTAAGGATGGGCGGACATGTCTCAGCCTCCACCACTCTCAGCACTGGAGCCCCCCAGGGGTGTGTTCTGAGCCCCTGCTGTACTCTTTGTACACATATGACTGTGTGGCCACTACCAGCTCCACCACCATCATCAAGTTTGCTGACGACACCGTCGTGGTGGGCCTGATCTCTGATAACAACGAGACGGCCTACCTGAAGGAGATTAGGAATCTGGAGAACTGGTGCCAGAGGAACAACCTCCTTCTAAACGTCAGTAAGACAAAGGAGCTGATAGTGGACTTCAGCACTAAGCAGGAGAGGAACTACCAGACCCCCGTCATCAACGAGTGCCCAGTGGAGAGAGTGGACAGCTTCAAATACCTCGGAGTTCACGTCACGCAGGACCTGTCATGGTCCTGTCACATCAACACCGTGGTGAAAAAGGCCCGACAGCGTCTCTACCACCTCAGACGCTTGAGAGACTTCCAACTGCCTCCAAGGTGCTCAGGAACTTTTTACTCGTGCACCATAGAGAGCATCCTGGCGGGAAACATCTTAACCTGGTTCGGGAACAGCACCATGCAGGACAGACGAGCTCTACAGAGGGTTGTGCGGTCAGCTGAGCGCACCATCCGCTCCGAGCTCCCTGACCTGCACTCAATCTACAGCAGGCGGTGCTGGACCAAGGCCAGGAAGATCGTGAAGGACCTCAGCCATCCCAACAACAGACTGTTCTCTCTGTTGAGGTCAGGAAAGCGATTCCGCTCCCTGAAGACCAACACAGAGAGACTGAGGAGGAGCTTCTTCCCGCAGGCGATACGGTCTCTCAATCACACCACCACACAGTACTGACCCACACATATGGTTCTTACACACACACTGGACTTTCTGGACTTTGGTTTTGCACAACACTGGTCACTATATTCTTCATTTCCGGTTAATACTTGTACAGCTGCTGTTATTGTGTATATATTTATTTATATTTAGATTTCTTCATACATTCTTATATAGTTCTATATTGTGTATTGTGTATTTTGTTGTACAGTTATTTTATTTTCAACTTTAATTTATATATTTATCTTTATTATTCTTCCCAGTTAAATTACCCTTCATTTAATTTGGTGTACAGTTATTTTAACCTTACCAGTTAAATTGACCCTTTTTAATTTTTCATATTTATTTCCTATCTTATTCATAGCCTTTCCTTTTTTGTTTTCTTTAGGTCACGAGCAGTTGTCCAAGCATTTCACTACATATCGTACTGTGTATGACTGTGTACGTGACAAATAAAATTTGAATTTGAATTTGAATTTGTTAATATGTGTTTCGAGCCAAATAAATGACGGGGAGAGAGAGAGTGACGTCAGGACACGTCATACTATAACCTCCCGGGAGCGGACGGAGGGGGTCAGTCGTTGGGATGCGCATGCGCAGACAGAGTGTGCGAGCGGCGGGCCTTGACCTTTCGGGGAAAAAAACTCACGGACGGTGACAGCGAAACGGATAACAGTCTTCAGTACCTGCTGGACTTTGAAGCTGTGGATTCTGGGACTGTTAGAAAAGGTAAAACATTTCCATTAAAACCTTATTACTGTTTTGTTTTTGTTACTCGTCATTGTAGCTTGCTGTTAACTAACAGTAGCGATTAGCTAGATACGTTAGCCGTTGAGGTCAGCGCAATTTAGTATCCAACAGACCTAACAAAACCACTGTTATAATTAAGTGAAGTGCTCCCAGCTAATTTGAACCTTTGGCTTCTAAAATATGTGGTTCAATTGCGTGCTGCGTACATAACCTAATGTCAGCTAGACCGAAATTAAAATTTAATATATTGTTAAAGTCACTAAAATGGCGCCTGAAGCCTGTTGTGAGCTCTGTGTCTGCTCTAGAAACTCTGAAATTCTGTAGATCTGAGCCGTACATTAAATACTCACATGAACCTGTACTTTGAATTCTGTATGAGTATAAAATACAGCTATGCATAAGAGTTTTGAATGAATAATTAGATTAGATAACTCTTCATTGTCTAATCGAATTATATAGAAATGAATAAAAATGTGACATGAGAAGGTGTGTCTTTGACTGTTCCTGCATAACTTAGTTTCGGACTAGTTGACAAGTTATGCTCCGGTCATTTGATGTTTCCAAGATAGATGTTCTTTTGTAATATAGTTAAATTTTTTTGTATATTTCATTTATCCACCATCATACATCATACATACAAGCTAAGAAGAGGTCGTTATACTAACAAGAGGTATCAACGCTGGGCCAAAGTTCAGCACATGGTTAAAGTTTGTAATCCAGCCAGGGTGTAAATATCACTCAGCAGCCAGAGCTGAAGCAGGTAGCATCAACACATAAATCTACTCTACCCGGCTTAAATCACAAGAGCACCTCTGACCAAAAAGCTGTAGATTTTTCTTGTTTGCACAAATTAATCCAGATTCACATTAATTGTGTTCACAGCTCCAACAAAATGAGGAAGAGGAGGGGAGAAACACAATTAGGTTGAATTACAATTGGATGGAAGGCGAGGACAAGGAGAAGGAAGCTTTGGATGAGGAGGAAGAGAAGCAGCAGGAGCATCTTTAGGGATCCCTATGATGTCATTGAGGTTTGTTTCATTAATATGGTCCTCTCACAAAGAACGATGACATGTTTTAGTTCACTACTTCCTGTATTAAATAGTGATATGCAAAATGTTGTGAAAAACCATGGAGCAGGTACGTATAGTGCATCTGCAGGTAAATGAACATCAAATCTCTAAGACAGACTGAAATCTGTATATTTATCACCCTTATGATAAAACCCATGTCAGCCATTGGTTTATGGACTTTGTATTTTGAAGCCTCAACATTTGCATTATTGCTGTTGCTATGTTGGGACCATATTAGGATGAGGGATCAGAATCTGGAGTCATGCACACTATTATTTCATTTAGTGTGTATCCATAAGATTCGTACAGCAGATCCAAGTTGTGCCTTGAAAACAGGAAAGTCGTCTGCATAGAGGAGAACTGTAATAGCAGGCTTGTACAAAGTGAGGCTGCACTCACTTTTCACCCTGTTTTGATGCAGATTTCACTTGAAATCAGGCAAGAACTGGACTTATTTTTTATAATGTGTTCTTGTGAATTGATTGTGTATCGCATATGTTTGATTTGACTTTCTGCAAGACAACAGTCGTCCACTGGCCAAAAAAGTTTTCCAAATACCTCCACGTGATCTAGCCTGCATTTAGAAAAGAATAGCAAAAAAAATCTGCACCCCCTGCTTCAGATGCAATTTGTGTTTCTGTGTTCAGAGGCAGCGGCGAGAGGGGAGACCTCGGGTCATCCAGCTGGAGAGCCTGACCAGGAGGAGTCGAACATTAACTCAGCTCTTCCAGGGCACCCTGCAGACTCGGCTGTTGGCATCGACGAGGGATGACGTGAACGCCAAACTGGAGTCCATCACAGGTCAACTGCAGGTATGCGAGTCAGACCTTCTGAGGAGGGTTTCACTTTTCTCTCTTCTTTATAATTGACTCTTTTCTCTCTCTTTCAGCTCCTTGTCTCAGAGTGGGAGGGATTTGAAGCACAAAGGGAGGAACTTGTCATTTGGTTGGCTGATATGGATGTCCGCCTGAGTGAGGTTGACCAGCTGACAGGAAACACCAGTGAAAAACTGAAACAACTGCAGGTGTGGGCTTGTTTTGATATGACATATATTTGATATGAAACATACGTCAGAGACATTGTCCTAAACTGGACTAACAAAGGACAATGAGTACAGCATGAAACGTACATTACATAGCGTAAGGCTGAAGTTCATTGATCATTTTAATCATAAACTTGTTGTTGAAATGTTTTTACTGAACATGCAAATATCTGCTGATGAAATTGTGTTGATTTATTGGTCTGTTATGAAGCTATTGCTATTTCTAATGTGTTTTATCACTTTCTGATGTTTTATTAATTAAACAATACATGTATTATTTGTTGTGTTATCTGTAGATATAGTATTTATATATATATATTTATTTATAGTATAGCCAATATATTTATTAATTATTACTGTTTAAAACACTAATATGTGACATGTATTAGTAGTGATGTTGTGCTGAGGGTTAAAATGCCTTTTTGTCTTTTGGTAACTACAAAATGACAATAAACCATTAACATATGTCTATGCTGTGCTCGTATTTATTTTACCCTACTCAAATTCAATTTATGATGCATTTTATTTTGAAAGATTTAAAATGGTTTTTTAAAGAACCACTCAAAAAAGGTTCTTTAAAATGGTTCTTTTAAAGAACCATTTGAAGGACCTTTTTAAAAATGGTTCTTTAAAGGACCATTTTTAAAAAGGTTCTTTGAAAAACCATTAAAGGTGCCCCAAAGAACCATTTCTTGATGGTTCTTTGGGGCACCTTTAATGGTTCTTCAATGAACCACTGAAAGAAATGGTTCTTCAAAGAACCATTGTTTGAAAGGTTCTTTGTGGCACCAAAAAAGGTTCTTCTATGGCATCAGTCTAAAGAACCACTTTTGGTTCCAGTTGGCACCTTTATTTTTCTGAGTGTAGCACGGCCAAAACAGTCAGTTATAACATCTGAAGGAGAAACAAGATTAGCTTTTTCATTTCTCTGCAGGAAGAAAGAGACAAAATTGTAATAATCCATACTGTAGCCTACAGTCCTGTTCCCCAGTGCTAGAGTTCAAACACTGCGCTAAGACGACAAAACCGTTTCAGCCAATTAACACACATTAGCCTACTGTTACTGCGTATCCCTTTGGCTAAAGAATGCCTAAGTATAAATACATGCACTATAGTGAGCTAAAGCAACTGTACCAAACAAATCAGTGCACTATAACTAACATTCTGAGGGATAATTAAGTCAGTAAAAGTCGGCGTTGGGAGTGCAGCTCACGTCATTTATTGAATAATACATGACAGAGAGAGTAACTGTTTTTCCCACTATGGCACATTAGGTTGAATGTTTTGTCTGCGTGGATTACAAAAAAGGGGGGAATCGCTTAAATATTGTAATATATCATATTTTGTCCGGAGAAACTACTTAATTAATTGATGAAGCGACACCTGTTTCCCCGGTTTGGTAGTCAAACGTCAGCACAATCCTCTGACACTATTGATCCTGCTGCTGTATCAAGCTGCATGTATTTAATAAATTCCTCCAACTAGCTCAGAATATCAAACAAGTTTTACAAGCTTTGGCACTTCCTCGTATTTGGCGTAAGATATTGCATGCAGCACACTTACTCCGAGATTCACGCACGTCTAGATATTTATGGAACTCCAAAGTGTGTTGCGTTTATGTGCCTTTTTTGTACATGAGGAAAGCGTGTATATGGTTGGGAAAACTACATTTAAAAACACAACGCACCACGGGAGGCATAAAAATAGCTGTATACCCATTTTGAAAAGCGAGTGTCCAGATAACTATCACTATATTCAAACAATAAACAAAATTATCAAAGTAAAAACAACAACAACAACAACAACAACCATATTCACTACACTACGAGCTAGAATGCCAATCTACATATTCTTTTTGTGTTATAGCGAGTGTTTTTGACTAACCTGATCCCTGACTGGGGCTTATTTTGCGGTATTTAGGTGCGTCTGACGCTGAGGGATTTCTGTCATTTTTAATTCTCTGCCTCTGTCCTTTTCTTTTCTTCCGACCATCCATTTCGCGGTTTCTCTAAAAGTAATCTGTAGCAGAAGCAGGTAGATACTGGGAGCACTGCGAAAGAAATGCACGGGTGCATGCGCGCACACAGTATGGGAGTCTTTAGCGCGCAGCAGGGGACACCCAGTGGCGAGTTGCACTTGAAGTGAGCTCTGAGAGGTCCGTCCATTTGTTACTGTTTGCAGTATCGCAGTTTGTGCAGTAATTGTTCACGCTAGGCCAAAACGACTCTCGGCACACCAGAAAATGTAAATTAGAAATACTATATGACACCTGAAACGACCAAAATCATGCTGACACCGACGTTACATTTATGTAATGTCTGCGTGTCTGTTCTAAGCTGTTAACTGCTGGCGTGAGTTCACATATTTATGGTCAAATGTTAAACGTCTCTTTGAGGCGTTAATTAGGCATTGGACTAGTTGGCTGAATCACCTACTGTAACACCTACTGAAATAACAAAACTATAGCAATTAGGTCTTCAGTTGTGTTGTTTTGAATACACTCAGTTTTTTCCTAATCTTTGTGTTTGACCCCACCACGCTGATGGGGTACTGAACACGCAACATGTATTGAAACAAATAAGAGATACATCGCTACATCAACAGTCTTGCTTTACCATGAATAATTGTCATAGGTATTCATATATTTAATAGTCACAATTTCCTTAATCACTTCAGTTCCTTTTAGTTACTTTGATAAAGTTCCTTTGATAAACTGTTTAAACAAATGATCAAAAGTTTAAAAACACTTCATTTTTCTATCTCCTAATTGCAAAGACTTGGGAGAAATTCTTTCAAATGCTCCAAATCACATATTTTAATACAATAGTTTTAGGATTGTGTTAAGGTTATGGTTACTTCCTTTCTGAGGTTTCATTTTTAAATACTCCAACCATAAAACCTATTTACTTATTTATTTTACTTTAAACAGAATTTCTAAAACTATTTGAAACAATGTTTGTACTATACTGTGAATTTAAGCAATGACAACCAAAAGCAAAGAAAAATATCATTTCCTACATTATAAGAAGGGGGTGTGTAATGTAAAGCATCATTTTCTGCAAAATGAGGAAATTTATATGTCAAGAGGCCAAGATGTTTGACCCTAAGGTCATTGTCCCTCTTTGCTTTTTAAAGTCAATTATCAGTCAGACTTGATCTGTTCACTTCCTCACAATCCTCTTGTAATCTAATTTTGCTAATTTGAGGATAACCCTGAGCAGGTATAAAACACCAAGGCAGCCATAAACTACCTGTGTGTGGTTGGTTTACACCTTTCTAACACTACTGGGATATTCCATCAGCTGAAACTCAAGCAAACTAGACAACAGAAGATGGCTTGGGAAGGAGGAATTGAGCCCAATGGCACTGAAGGCAAGAACTTCTACATTCCCATGTCCAACAGGACTGGGATTGTTAGAAGTCCTTTTGAGTACACTCAGTATTACCTGGCAGACCCGATCTTTTTCAAGCTCCTGGCTTTCTACATGTTCTTCCTGATCTGCACTGGGACTCCCATCAACGGCCTGACATTGTTTGTAACTGCTCAGAACAAGAAGCTCCGGCAACCTCTCAACTATATCCTGGTCAACCTGGCTGTGGCTGGACTCATCATGTGCTGCTTTGGATTCACCATCACCATCACATCAGCTTTTAGTGGCTACTTCATTCTTGGATCCACCTTCTGTGCAATTGAGGGATTCATGGCCACACTAGGAGGTAATAAAGAAAGCAGATCTTTTCAGGATCCTTTCTATTTCATTGGCAGATATACAATATCAATGAATAACTCACCTTTTCTGTCTACAGGTGAAGTTGCTCTCTGGTCACTTGTTGTCCTGGCTATTGAGAGATACATTGTGGTCTGCAAACCCATGGGAAGCTTCAAGTTCTCTGGAGCTCATGCTGGTGCTGGAGTACTCTTCACATGGATCATGGCAATGGCTTGTGCTGCACCTCCACTCTTTGGATGGTCCAGGTACTCAAATATTTCTTAATATTTTATTTAGTTAAACAGCCTTTTGTACTTTTAAGCCACTAACTTGAAAATTAGATATTTTCACTCACAAAACTAGATGTTAAATGTAAAGAGCTATTTTTACTGAATGAGGACATGACTTTCTTTCTCACAATCTCACACAGGTACATTCCTGAGGGAATGCAGTGTTCCTGTGGTCCTGACTACTACACACTGGCTCCAGGTTTCAATAATGAGTCATATGTCATGTACATGTTTGTTGTTCACTTCTTCGTTCCTGTCTTCGTCATTTTCTTCACTTATGGAAGCCTTGTGATGACAGTCAAAGCTGTAAGTGAAGCTAAAGTTCTTAAATTATTTATAATAGTTTAGTTAATCTAACCAAGCTAGCCATTGCTACTGTGGAATTTATTGGTGTTACATTAACCTAACTGACCATAAAACTTAACAGGCAGCAGCACAGCAGCAGGACTCAGCTTCTACCCAGAAAGCTGAGAAGGAAGTGACCCGTATGTGTGTCTTGATGGTCATGGGCTTCCTAATAGCTTGGACACCGTATGCTAGCTTTGCTGGTTGGATTTTCATGAACAAGGGAGCTTCTTTCAGTGCCCTCACTGCAGCCATCCCTGCTTTCTTTGCAAAAAGCTCAGCCTTGTACAACCCTGTTATCTACGTGCTAATGAACAAACAGGTTGGTGTTACGTATTCTCATAGTTTTCTTCTCTGTTTTTCAGTCTTTTGCTGTTTACTGAGTTTCTGAATTGGCTGTCTTTCAGTTCCGTAACTGCATGCTATCCACCATTGGAATGGGCGGCATGGTGGAGGATGAGACTTCAGTTTCAACAAGCAAGACAGAGGTGTCCTCTGTGTCTTAATCCTGATGGCATCTTCAGATATAAGGACACTGATGATCGCTCGCAAATTTTCAAAATTCCCATTAGAGAAATCTTTTGCCAAATGGATTTAAGAAGCGGACTTTGGACAAAAACACTAAGGAATTCTATCTTATCTTATCTCTGAACTAACAAAAAATGCATTTTCTGTTGAGGTGATCTTGTACAGCAGTTGTGCGTCTGTGTGCATGTGAGAGCATTTGAGTGAGTGAGTCGATGTGTAGGAACTCAGATCCTCAAAATGTCAAAAGAAAAACTGTAAAACTGCTGAAATGTGACACTTTTACCTGATGAATGTGCAATCACATGCTGATTGTTTTCATGTAATTTTATGGTTGGGGATGTGTGTGGGGGGCATACTGTATACTTAACTGGTCTACCAGTGGTGTTATTTTTATGTATAAAAAAATAAAATATAGACTTGAGTAGAAAATAAATGCATGCATGAAAAGAAACATACCTGTTTGTTGTTTAACTCTAAAGCTTTACACATAGATTTAAATTAAATCCAAAGGGCACACACACACACACACACAGGTTTGCACATATGTGCAGGACGATTGTGGCTCAAGAGTTGGGAGGTCGCCTTGTAATTGGAAGGTTGCCGGTTCGAGCCTCGGCTTGGACAGTCTCGGTCGTTGTGTCCTTGGGCAAGACACTTCACCCGTTGCCTAGTGGTCAGAGGGCCCAGTGGCGCCAGTGTCCGGCAGCCTCGCCTCTGTCAGTGCACCCCAGGGTGGCTGTGGTTACAATGTAGCTTGCTATCACCAATGTGTGCGTAAATGGGTGGATGACTGAATGTGTAAAGCGCTTTGGGGTCCTTAGGGACTAGTAAAGCGCTATACAAATACAGGCCATTTACCATATGTGTATCATTCAACACCCACTAAATTTCTCCAGGCTGTTATTACTGTTTTCTCAATTAAAAACAAAACATAGTCACTTGCTGATTATATTGTCAACATGTCATCTTCAAGTTAGTCAAGACTGACAGTTAATGATTCCCTTTTGGACAGGAATGGCTGTTGTTGCATACTTATAAATTATAGTAATCCACCATGAAAGGGCAGCAATGAAAAGAAAAGGAAGTGCTCCTTAGACAGAAGTGTCACACTTATTGCAAGTTTTATATAGCGAAGGTTTTGTGATGTGTGAATGTTTAAAATAATGAAGAACTGCTGAGATGTGAAAGTAGGCCAGTGAAATAAATGACCTGCATCAGAAACTGTCTGTTTCCCTGTTTCACTCTCTTATGATGGAAAACAATCACAGTGAGGGGATTATAACAACGGGTCTACAATGGGCGTCAATACATTTTTCACCAAGGGTATGATGAATACCTCTGCTGACCATAACATCAAAATGTCCTTCGGCCTGGTCATGAGTCTATGTATAAATACACAATTCTGATAGCACATTTCTTACGTCTGAAGATGTGAAGCTGATATATGAGAAATCACCCAAACATGTTTTTACAAATAATTAGCTTTTTTCTGCAATGTGGTGATAAATGAGTGTAGACATTTTTGAGAAATATGTGTAATAAAACATTTGACACCAACAACAAGAACAAAAAACATACACCCTTTGTGGTTTGTTTCTTTTTGGAGAACAAGTGAAAAAATGACTTATTTTCCTGCAATTTGCACGGAGAAGAAGAGGACATTATTAATCCTATTTACGGGAATGCATCAGTAGAAAAAACAACTTATATTTGGTGTGATGTTACACCACCCCCTTGAGGCCTAACTCCTAACATACAACCTTACGTGTCTGCTGTTATACATGCTACATTTTCTGAGACTGAAAAAAGGTACAAAATGAAAAGCAAAGACCTGACATTTAGAAAGGTAGCACATAATTGTTGCTCAAGTGGAATGATAAAAAAAAAAGAAAAGAGTTGATGTTATTTTTTTTTTAATAAACATAGTAGGACCCTCGCTTGGAAAGCCTACAGATGATAAAACAGGTGGATAATGCCCCCTGCAGGTGTTTACAAAAAGTGAAAAATATCTTATGTCTCTGTATCACCACTGTGTACAACATCTTCCTCAATGTGCTTCATTTGGAAATAAAAGTCACAGCTGGTTCATGTACACCAGGGAAAACAGACATAACCAACATTAAGTGCTACATGCCAGTATGACATCTTACGAAGGGGATTAATTACATTTAAATGTAGCCTTTCCTCCATACAAGATGGGCCATCTATCTCATGATGTAGCCTTTTATTTCCTGCTGATGACCTGACCCTAATTGGCATGCTGTGGGTACATTCACTGCAATTTTCTTCAAAGAGCCTCCTCTGGACACCTGCATGTGCTCAGTCTCTTTGTCAGGGGGCCGGCAGAGGCGAGCATCACCCCTCTTTGTTCTAATTGCTTTAATCAGATAGCGGACTGCATACAGAGGCCTTAATAACAAACTTGGGGATGCTCTGACTGTAACTCAAAGCTAATGTTCACTTTGAGGACGGCTGGAGCTACATAATAGTTCCGTTAGCAGCAGTCTGTTAACAACCGGCCTAATTTTAAGCAGGATTCCCAGTCAGCAAGTGTAAGTTTACCACAGTTTGCTTTTAACATACGAAATCTATATTATTTGATCCCTGACAAGAAAAGTTAATTATTTTTTTCTGAGTTTTTTCTGCTTTGCCATTTTTCGGCAAATTTATGTAGTGGAAAATTTATTTGCATTTTTCTTTTTTCTTTTTTTTGGCAGGTTAATGTTTGTGTGTGAAAAAAAATGAAACATTTCTTAAAACCAATTTGTTCTGATGACATATCATCCCGGTGTTTGTTGAAACAGCCTAAATATCAGGCATTTCAGTCTCATTTTATTTTTCTACAGAACACAAGTTAAATCAGTCAAACAGATTTTGAAGCATTTGCCTCACTTAGTATGCAGCCTTCAATGCTCAGATGAGCACAAACAGTGTTGTCATATTATTTGCTGCTCAGATACCACATCAAACTACTTATGAGTATGCCTTCTCATGGGCTAAAGCAAGAACAACTTGTCAAACAACACAAAACACGTTCAAAAACAGGCAACTGTTGGGCACCTGCCATGATAACCGAATTCCATGTGTAACATTGTGGTGTTCCCGTGAATGAATGAATGAATGAATGAATGAGTGGTGGAGATCCACTGACACACTGAGGTTCACAAGCAAAGTTATCATTCAGTGAAGAATATTTATTCCACCTGTAGTGGCTTACTTATAACAATAATAATTTACTTAGGTGACATGGAAATGACTTTAAAATCAAAGGTGGATTATAGCATTACGGATTGCTGACATTTATATTGGTGAACATGTACACAAATCAGCTCAACCAACAGCTACCAACTCAAAGTCATGAACAGTTTATGGTCTGAGTGGTGAAACATTTTAGGTATTAGTATTATGGCCACCTTAAACAGATGACACTGACTTCGAAAAGATTATTCCATCAGGATTTGCAGGTGAGATGATTCCATTCACAGTGTGAGTCACGCTTCTTTAAATCAGTATTCATTAGTGATTCACTATGCTGGTTTCCCAAATTTGATTGCTTTCTGTATTTTTTAGTATTTACTACTTTTTTTGTTTCTTTTACTTATATACTTTGTCACTGAAATTAGTGGGTCGTATCTCTTTCTACACAAACTAATAATGGTATACACTCACTTTGGCATATATCACCCACTATCACGCTATGATTGAAGAAATATGCACAGCAACAACTGACATAACATACATCCTAAAGTTAAATCCTTCAGAGTAAGATAAACTATAAACAACATGAGTCACTTGATCATATTATACATGCATAACAAAACTCTAGTACATTTGTTGGATTCAATTCTTGCACTAATCCAGCAGATTTACAGACGTGTGTATTGTATTTTTCAATTTACATGTATAATTAAAACATATATCAGCTTAAACATTGGTACAAGGCAGGAAGCCATGCTTTCATCTTGTTTACAACAAATTCTGACCCTACCATCCAAATGTCACAGTAGAAATTTAGACTGATCAGATCCAACTATGTTTTTCAATTTTCTGTTGTCCAATTTTTGTTATTTTGGTGAGCCTGTGAGAGTTGTAGCCTCAGTTTTCTGCTGTTAGCTGACAGGAGTGGAACCCAATGTGGTCTTCTTCTGCTTTAAGGTGTGATGTGGTACGCTTTGACAGATGCTCTTCTGCAGACCTTGGTTGTTATCTGAGTTACTGTTTTCCTATCAGCTTGAAGCAGTCCAGCCATTCTCCTTCTTTTCACCCAGAACTGATGGTCACTGGATAGTTTCTCTTTTTTGGATATTCTCTATAAACAGTATAAGTGACCTTGTAGGAAAATCCCAGAAGATCATCAATTTTTGAAATACTCATACGTCAACAACTGTGCTGTGTTCAAAGTCACTTTGAACACAGCACGGTTTGAACTTTAGGAGGTCGTCTTGACGTCTACATACTTAAATACACTGAGTTGCTGCCATGTGATTGGCTGATTAGAAATTGGCATTAATAAGCAGTAATACAGCTGTAACTAATCCAAAACAAATAAAATAAAAAATTCAAAAAATTCTACATTTCTCACACTTGAATGTTTCAGATCATCAAACAAATTGTAATCTTAGAAAAATATAATTTGAGTGAAAAGAAAATGCAGTTTTTAAATTAAGATTTAATGTAAATGTCCAAATCGACCTAGCCCTGTGTGAAAAAGTAAACCTAAATATAACTGCTTAAAACTAACAAATGGCTGCGCCATCCTTGACAGCAAGAACTGCAATCAAGTGCTTGAGATAATATAAAATAAGATAAAATATAGCAATGAGTCTGCAGTATAACATCCCTGTGGAGGAGCTTTGGCCCACTTTTCACTGCAGAATTGTTTTATTTCAGTCATACTGCAGGAGGTTTAAACTGCAGGAAGCACAAGCATGAAGACCCTGTTTAATGGTCATGCTAAAGTATCCATCCACTCTCCTCTTCTTATTCATGAGGTCACCAATCTGTTGCAGGGCCAACATAGAGAGACTGACAACCATTGACACTTACACCTACAAGAAACTTAGAATCACCCTTAACTCCACTAACTGCATGTCTTTGGACTGTGGGTGGAAGCCAAGTGAAAATTTAAACTCCACACAGAAGGACCCCAGCCAGATAGTGGAGCTGAACTCAGGACTTCCTTGCTGTGAGAGAGCACGAACCACCATGCCACCGTGCTGCTAAAGTAATTCAATTGAATTTAAGTCTGGGTTTTGACTGGGTACTTTCAAAAGGTTAATTTTGTTTTTTTGAGCAATTCTTTTATGACTTCCTGGATAAGTCACGGAGGCGCTGTTGGAATTATTTTGGTAGGAAAATGACTCCGAGGAAGGTTCACTCTTGTGGTAGTTTTCCTGATGTCTTTTTTTTTCATTTGTGGATAATGACTCTCGCCGCCTTTTAAAAAGGAAG